AGAATGGACCGACACACAAAGACATGTGGTGGTACTACGAGCCTTAGTCGAGCGCGATCGTGATTTGACAAAATTTTGATTCAAATTCTTAATTCTGAGATCTTGAGGCTGCGGTTACTACGAAGACCCACTTCAGCCGCGTTACAATTTGAAGGGTGGGGCGACAAATAAACAACACGATTGAGGCTTAGGTCTCATGCCTCGAGATGGGTGGTACAAGCACTAACAAAGGAATTACGAATTTTAATATCGTCGTTGTCAAACCAAAATCTGCTATGTGTACTCTTTGAGATTTTTACTGTTTGACCTTTTCGTATAGTTCACAGCCCTATCTATCTACCGGAAAAAAAAAACTGTTAAGTATCTATAGCTTTAATATTTATCTATAGCTTTCATTTGATATAGTTCTTAAAAATTCACCTTCATATAAATAAATTAATTAATTCCAAAATAGTTTTTGCGCATAGCAGATTTTGGTTTGACAGCGACGATATATCGATTTTTACTTTAAGAAGGTTAACGTGTATATGTTCTCTACAGACTCAGAAAAGGCTAAGCCTATTTCGATGAACATTCAGAAATCTTGAAATTGGCCTTGCGGATGAGTCTGTGAAGCTTGATGGCGATCGTCAAATCAAATATCAGCCAGCATAGCGGATAGAGTTGGGCCAGCGAATCAAAATAATATACGAACCGACGTGAGATTTACTACGAATGGAATATCAACGGGATTGAGTGCCCTTCGTCTCGTATTTTCGGAATATTATTAAACTATTGCGCTATATACCTTATAACTATTATCGCACCTTTAAAATTGAAGTAGCTCAATCCAAAATTCTTGATTTTTGGTATACGCCAAAAATGTAATTGAAGAATTGTAATTTTTCAATTTCAATTTTTTTTATTTTTTAGATGGGTGTACGAGCTCACAGGCCACCTGATCTTAAGTGGTTACTGGAGCCCATAGACATCTACAACGTAAATGCGCCACCCACTTTGAGATACAAGTTTGAAGGTCTCAAGTATAGTTACAACGGCTGCCCCCCAGCCTTCAAACCGAAACGCATTACTGCTTCACGGCAGAAATAGGCAGGGTGGTGGTACCTACCCGCGCGGACTCACAAGAGGTCCTACCACCAGCAATTTTAATACTTTAAGCCTTAAAGCGGACACCTTAAAGTTTAAGATATTCGTTTGATTTAAAAGAAACGAAAAGTGTACTTTGTCCTTTTTTAGACTAAAATTTAAATTAAATTTATTTTTTTAACTGATAGAATACACGTTTATAAGTCTTTCAAAGTATAAAACTCATTTCCTTACAATTTTTACTAAAGCCATATCAATTTTAAGAGTTGCCATTTTGACATGTCCGCATTGTACAACGTTTAGGAATAAGATTGGCTATTAACGCCACACACAAGCACACCGTGACAATAAGTCGTCGTTGCCTAAAGGATAAGATGTCCGGTGCATTCGTATGAAGCGATGCACCGGTGTTCGAATCCCGCAGGCGGGTACCAATTTTTCTAATGAAATACGTACTCAACAAATGTTAACGATTGACTTCCACGGTGAAGGAATAACATCGTGTAATAAAAATGAAACCTGCAAAATTATAATTTGCGTAATTACTGGTAGTAGGACCTCTTGAGAGTCCACACGGGTAGGTACCACCACCCCGCCTATTTCCGCCGTGAAGCAGTAATGCGTTTCGGTTCGAAGGGTGGGGTAGCCGTTGTAACTATACTGAGACCTTAGAACTTAAATCTCGAGGTGGGTGGCGCATTTACGTTGTAGATGTCTATGGGTTTCAGTAACCACTTAACATCAAGTGGGCTGAGAGCTCGTCCAACGATCTAAGCAATAAAAAAATAAAAAAATTGGATTCGAAATTAAAGCGGTTGCTGTGCCCGAAATCTGCTAAGGAGAGAATTATTAAAACTAGAGGTCCCGCAGTAATCGAAATTCGACTATAATTAATTGGAATTGTAAGTTTGTACACTATTATGATTGTATTTTATACTTCTATAATCACAAATTTCGCCAAGACTACACTATAAAAGATATTAACAAAGACTAACAATATTTAATCTATTCTCAATTTGACAACAGACGTCAAGAACAAAAGTTTGACAATAAATAGTATCCATGCGTGTGTGCGTCAAATAATGTCAAATGCGTATGCAGTGTGTGTAATGCTTTCTTTATTGATTTAATGTATATTTTACGCATTATTTAAAAAAACAAATTAGCATTGTGCACTTCTACATTCTCTATGAGTGTGGTAAATTTCATACTAAGTACTCCGTCCGCGCAATTTTCGTAAAAAGGGATACAAAGTTTTTGCTTCACGTATTAATATATAGATAATAAACTTACCCTTCAAACAAAGAAACATCCGGCGACGATTTAAAACTTAAAACAACAAAAACCAGTCATAAAATCAATTCTGTTGATAAATACTAAACCGAAGATATTTAACGAGATAACAAAACGAAAATAAAATATGTTTGACTCTGAAGGTGGTTGTTGAAATACAACGTTATTATGCATAGTCGACACTATTTATCTCTAGATAAGTAAGTTATCAAGAAACAAATTTATCATTACGATTTCTGTATCTAATCCACCGAGATGTAGGTTATGATCCGTGTTATCTTCGGACAGCGTCATTGGATATTGTTGACCTATATTTCCTTGAAAGGTTTGCATTTAAACAAAATTTATTGAATGCAGAAGATAATTTTAACCGTTAGCCAACGATCTTGATTATTATGCCTGGATCACATAATCCCGCTCTTTCGAGTCACTCTCCTCATAATTGTCTATGCCTCTCGTCATTCATAGCTACTGTATTTTCATTTATTTTGTAACATGATTTTATTATCTGACCTGTATTTGTATGCGTAACAGTTTTTGAACGCAGTTTGATCGTTTTCATGGCGTCTGATTAGCTTGAAAATTTGACTACATGTCATGGACCAATGACAATATTAGGTACCGTCATGATAGCCGCCTTATCGTTGCCGCCGCTGACTACTCCCCTAATCCTGATCACGCAGGAGCCAATCACTGTTGACCCCCTAGACACGTCCTTACGAATCCATTAGATCCAATGACTGCTGCATTAGACGCCTTCAGCTCCAACATTAGGAGCAGGCTTAGGGACCTCGGTATCCATACTCGTCGAACTCGACAAAGAGTACGACGTGCAGCCTAACCGATGCATCAGCCCGCTGAGTTTCTAACCGGATCTTCTCAGCCGGGCGTGATTCCGATCCGGTAGTAGATTCATTCGTGAAGCAGCTGCTCTTGAGTTGTTAGGTCTTCTTTGGAGGCGCTCGGGCAGCTGTTAGAAAATCCCACCCCTCCTGGCAGAGCCTTTGCTCAGACCTTCAGACCACCAGTAATCTATCAGTCCCAAAAAAACACAATATAAAATTGTATTGTCTTTTTATTAGACATTTGGCTAAATTAACAAAATTACATATTAGTTTGGTCTAAGAAGGAATAAGCAGGATTTAAAAATGTCCATTTTAATTTTAGTAAATTTTTTCTAGATCCTATTTAAAGTCTGTTTGTGCCAAAGTAATAAAATTTCGTGATTTTCTTCCAACGTTATATTACCTTTAATTTTTTCATATTGGCATTCACGTGGTATCAAGGTCCTCAGCTAACTAAACAACTGCGAAATGCAAAACAACATCAGGTCGACAGTGAATTTCTGATTATTTTTACCTGAAAACACAGCAAAAGAATTCTTTTCGAACAAGTTCAAGTGCTGGGTGAATATCAAATCATGGAGGATGTCTACATAAGGTACTTAAAAAAGAGAATGTACTGTTTCATACTCTTCCCCCTTGGCAAGTAGGTTTCACGTATTGACATGTACTCACTTTCTTTTTACAGAGGGAGGTCAAGAGTGAGAGCTTTTTTATTGTTATGGACCTAAGTACATAATATGTACGGCATATGGAATATGAAATACTTGTGATTCGTTGTTTATCAAAAAACAGTGTTTCATCATAATACTAATGTACGATGTTAAGTTTTAAGTATTAAGTGTATTATTGAATATGTTAAGTTATGCATTTGTTGAGTGTCAAAATAAGCTTTAAATAATGTCTTTGAACTAGGTGGTTTCGATATTTAAAAATAGAAGAAAAAAAAGAATATTTTACGAAAGGAAGTTTAAACAGTAATGTGGTTTTAGTTACTTAATACATAAATATTTCTTAATGGTTGCCTTTGCCTCTTCAAGAAGAAAAAAAGTAATGTCAAATATGACAGCTTACTGGGATACCAAGAAAATAAATTGGAAATGTCTTGATGGAATGTAAGATGATGCTGCAAGTAAGTAGGATAAAAGATAGGCGACCGATCGTGTGAGAAAATACGATCGATACGTTTAAAATACAAGCTGTAAGTATCATGTAAGCGGTAAGCAGTAAATTAGCACTCGAAAACTCACTAATACAGCACTAGCAAGTGGTGTGATGTGAATGTTCTGTTATGAATATTTTAAGTGTGTTATGTTGAGATTTTTATTATATTAGAATAGAATAATAAATTTATTACCCTTACCATCCATAGTTGCAAGTAACAGTTATTGAAACCCACTGAGTTTTTCGCCGGATCTTCTCAGTTAGTCGAGATTCAGATCTGGTGGTAGATTCTGAAAAGCATTGCTCTTGCTAGGGCTAGTGTTAGCACTCAAAGTCTTTTAGGTCGAGTCCCGTGAGCTCTCCTACTCGCCGTGGGGTAGCTGTAATAGCCTAAAGTTGCTAGTAAGCTCGTTAGCGTTGGTAAACTAACAAAGAAATTCGTTAAATTCCAACATAAAAATTATAGTCTTATTTAGATTTTTCAATATTTTTATTTGGTAGGTATCTACTTTCATGTGGTATTAGAATCTGTAATTTTAACTGTCATAGTAAAAAGTGACATATGACACTGTGACTCATAGTGTCACATGTCACTTTTCGGTTTGCGTTTCGAAAACATTCGATGAAGTTCGACTGTAAACGTTTCTAGATGATTTGTAAAAATTCTAGAAAGAAATATTTGATGAATCAACTGGATAAACTTTTAAATAAAACCAGTCGTGATTCAGTTGGCTTTACAGTTCAATTTCGAATTCCATTACGTACTAGTGATATCTCACAAAATATTTGAGTTTCTAAAAGATGAGTTCGAATAATACGCAGAATAACACGATTGCCGGAGCCCTGACTTATCCGACAAGAAGTCAAGATGAAGTCCTACCAAATCAGCCGAGGCAGCCAAGAAACCTGCAAGTAATATTTTTTAGAGAAATGAATCTTATGCAAATAACCTATAAAATCATGTTTATAAAACCCCTTGAGCTTGTTTCTTTACTGTTAAGGTGAGCATGTAATTTATCACATGCTATGAAAATGACTGCTTTGTGGCAGAAATAGCCAGATTTCAAGACAAATAGTGTCCAGTTCCATGACAGACAATTTGATCTGCAATGTACAAGTCTTGAACTGTATTGGGAACTTCTATGGTTGGAAATATATTATTTACTCCTCGTTTTTATTTTAAACTGTTCAGCTTTTTTCATCTTTGCTTCACAGGGGTTAAGCATTTGAATTTCTTTTCTTACATCACTCTTTGAATAGAAAAAGTTGCTAGAATACCCAGACTGGGAGCACTGAATTGCTACACTGAGGGTTATGTGTTCAAATCTTGGGAAAATCTTCATGGGACTAATAGGTTTTGCTTGTTGTCTGGGTACTCATTATCTAAATCTTAACGTCTTAAATATAAAATATCAGTCTTAGTTTCCCAAAAATGGGGGACATCTTAGTTTAGGGTCTGACTTATCCCTGAATATTAATTATTCCCATATTTTTGTTACTTTAGAATATAATAATATACCTAAATTATATTTGTTATATACCTAAATTACATTTGTAGGGACTTTTACGGTTTGCAATGGAAGCCACAAAAGCTGAAGATGCACCAGGGAACTCAGAATTGGGACCAATTGATGATGAAGTAAGTATTTTATTAATAACTTGCTGACCCGGCAGCCTTCGTAGTGCCTCAATCGATAAATAAAAGACGTAAACTTTTGTATAAAATAAACTTGAAACAAACAAAAGGAATCCGTCCGACAGGACACACATCAAAGGGAAAACAAAATAGTTATTTTTATTTAATTCCGAGCATTTTCATATTTGTCTACCTTTTAAACCTTCTCTGGACTTCCCACAAATAATTCAAGACCACAATTAGCCAAATCAGTCCAGCTGTTCTCGAGTTTTAGCAAGACTAACGAACAGCAATTCATTTTTATATTTTATTAATAATTTAACTGTACTGAAGAAGCTATTAAATAACACTTGTAATAATACTGCATGAGGCCACTGGCCTAAAGCAGACTGCTATGGCCAAAGTGGCTATAAATCAAATAAATTAATAAAAACTGATTTGGGGTTTGACAAGGTCTAAAAATCAACACTATAACTATAAATATTACTATCTACAACTATAACTATAATAAATGTGTATTATAACTAGTAATTTAAATAAATAGTAAATAGTAACTATTGCTTAACACAAGCATTTCAACACACTGTGCAAGTTATGTACCAACTTGTTATAAAAAAAACAAATTCAAACAACATGAAATACTCTAAAGTACTCTCAAACCAGATAGGATTTTTAAAAAGTTATTTGGCTATGGAGATCTTTGTGTTGTAGTGATACTCAAGTTGGAATGAGAAGCTATGCTCTACAGCATTAGATACTCAGTGGCTCATGTTAAATGATGGAATTATACTGGGGGTTAACTCCCACAGATATCTACTGATTTTTCTAACCAAAATAAGAATTAAAATATATAAATAACTAATATAAAAATAATATAAATAACTAAATAATATAAATATAAATAACTAATATAAATAACTAAAATAAATAATAACAAAATAACCAAAATAAGAAAGAATTAAGTTCTATAATAATTTTTATTATAATTGGAATTGTTTTAATTACTTAAATATCAAGTAGCCCATGAGTGGATGACTGGAAAAAAATTCATTTTTTTTTTCCTACCTAAACTGGTAGACGTGAGAGGCTATTCCAGCGTAACCCTAATTAGTAGGTGAGCTCACGGGGCTCAAACCTGATGACGTTGCTAACACGAGCCCTAGCAAGAGCCGTGCTTCGCAGAATCTACCACCGGATCGGAAACGCGACCCACTGAGAAGATCCGGCGAGAAACTCAGTGGGCTGTGTCTGAGAGTTAATTTACTCGTCGAGCCCTTCGTCGCAAGCGACGGGTTCGACGAGAACGGTGACCGGAAAAAAAATTCATTATAATTTTAAACTCATTGCTTGGTAACATAATTAAAATTATCTTACAGTTTGAATAATGTAAATTCTTATTATCATGTTTTCCAGAGACGCAAATTCCTTGAAGATGCCCTAAAGAGTCTGACAGTGAACATTGCTGAAGTGTTACTGAACGCCATCAAAATTCTCACAAATACTGAAAGGATTCGTAGCATACAGTTTGGGGAACCACTACCAGAAGACGTACAGGCGGCTTTTGACAATGTCCTTGAATATATTGACGATATTGATACAGCAAATGGTGAGATTTAATTTAACTAAATACTTGGCAGGGTATTAGCATAACTAGATTTTTAATTCTAGGCAGCAGCTTGGCTCTGCCCCTGGCATTGCTGAAGTCCATGGGTGACGGTAATCACTCAGCATCAGGTGGGCCGTATGCTCGTCTGCCTGTAAGGGCAATAAAAAAAAGTACTTTAGAAAATGATAATGTACTTTAGAAAATGATAATTGCTCTGAGATTATATCTGTATAAAATAAGTGAACTTTTTGGCAAATCTTTGATTACTTTAATATTAATTTGCTTTACTGCCTTTGTTGGGCAGACCAGTTCATGGTCTAGCGTATCCCGAAGTGGTCAATACGCACTGTCGCACTTACGCACACGATAACTTAACCAAACTGCTAAGTTCGTAAACTGGTAAGTATTTTTTATTAACAGGAAAAAAACTAAAGGTTTTAAAAGTAATGCCTATCTAGATCTGAGCTGGCAGATTATTTTAGAATAGGGGTCTCTTGCCTGAAACTGTTTGAGAATGCTGATCATGAATGCTGCCACCTATAATGAAAATTAAGGTAGACACTTAATACTATTGTAATAGGACATTCTATTTACACACTGGTACAGGCTGACAATAAACATCCTCTACCCTCCTAAAATTAGCGACGATAATGGTAGGAATTTGGGAAGGTGAAGGTTATTGATTACAGTGCACTGCTCATGCTTAAAATGACTATTTTTTTTCAATTCCAGACTTCTACAAGATGGGAGGGTTTGCTATGTTTCCAATATGCTATGGAAGCGAAAATGAGAAGGTCCGCGCCCTCGCCAGTACGGTCCTGGCTGAGCTCTGTCAGAACAATCCGTTCTGCCAGGAGAAGTTCTTAGAGTATGGTCTGCTGAACGTTCTACTCACTTTAGTGCAATCAGAGCAAGGCGAAGCGCTCGTCAAGTGTCTATATGCTTTATCATGTAAGTTTTCTTATCATATCAGATTTGGGTTGGAGAGTCAGTTCTGTGCCTTTCCATATATTTTTTTTCTTTCTCAGTTTGGTGGACGAGCTCACAGCCCATCTGGTGTTAAATGGTTACTAGAGCCCATAGACATCCACAACGTAAATGCGCCACCCACCTTGAGATATAAGTTCTAAAGGCTCAAGTATAGTTACAACGGCTGCCCCGCCCTTCAAACCGAAACGCATTACAGTTTCACGACAGAAATAGGCAGGGTGGTGGTGGTATCTACCCGCGCGGACTTACAAGAGGTCCTACCAGCAGTAAATTCCATTCCTCTTGTTGGAATATGCAAAGCAGATTTGTGTATTTACAACAAACACATGTATGTGGTGCAGGCGGTTGCCGCGAGTACTCGCCCGCGTGTCGCTCGCTGGTGTCGCGCGGGGGGTGCGGGGCGTTGGGGGCGGCGCTGGCGCAGGACGAGCCCTCCGCCAGGACCAAGGCCGCCTTCCTCATCAGGTACCTGGCCAGCCAATACAGCGACGCTAAAGGTACCAGGTTTTTTTATTTTTTTTATTGCTTAAATGGGTGGACGAGCTCACCGTTGTACAATAGCGTGTTATAGGAGGGTTACCTGTATAATACTGTTACGGCTTACTTACTGTCGATAAGGCACAGTTCCGGTTTAAAAGGATAGCCAATGTGCAATAAAAAGAACCCAGTGAAATGGGTTTCAAAATGAGCTCCGACGTCATGTTAAGGTTTGCGATGACATTCAAAGTATGAATTCTGGTGTCTCAGTAATGTGATAGGCAAAGACAAAACCAGGAACAGTAGTAGTAACATGTAGAGATCAGCTGATGTCAGAGGTCAACGACCCAGTGTCATACGATGCTCGGTGCTAACTTCACATATATTTTTTTTATTGCTTAGTTGGGTGGACGAGCTGACAGCCCACCTGGTGTTAAGTGGTTACTGGAGCCCATAGACATGTACAACGTAAATGCGCCACCCACCTTGAGATATAAGTTCTAAGGTCTCAAGTATAGTTACAACGGCTGCCCCACCATTCAAACCGAAACGCATTGCTGCTTCACGGCAGAAATAGGCAGCATAGTGGTACCTACCCGTACGGACTCACAAGAGGTCCTACCACCAGTTAATTCGACGAGTTTCGACTTAATCCGACGTTTTTAATGGGGTCAAAATCACAATCAAAGATTCCGTTAGATAAATACTAACATACGTATGAAGATAATAAGAAGCGTATTAAGAAGAGAATCTGAAATTGTATTTCCAGAGCAGTTCATCCAGCACAATGTAGTCAGGACCATAGCTGAACAACTGAGAGGGGGTCGTGACGCGACCAGTGAGCACCTCCTGAACTTACTCTGCACTCTGCTCGAGGACCTGGACCCCAGGGTCCTGGACCAATGCCGGGACCCCACCCTACACTTGAAGGAGACTTTAGAACAACACTTAGGACACCCTGAGCTGGAAAGTTTTACGGAAGAAAAGGAGTATTGTGAAGAGATCCTCAGGAAGGTGTTTGTCGGGCATAAGCCAGTGGAGATCGTGGTTGAAGAAGCCGATAGATAGTGCGAGGGGTCTTAATGAAAGTGTTCCGAATCAATCTTGTGCCGTGGACTCAGTGTTCCCACCAAATTTAGTGGGCCCACCTACAGCAGAAGAGAGTGTTAACTTGCTAACTAAAAGTCAATGAAAGATTCATATTTGATTTGTTGAGATGTAAAAAATGCTTACAGTTTTTTATTAAGAGTTTTATTTATTTTATTACATTTTCAGAAAATTGTGTGTTGTTTTTTAGTTGCAGATTAGATGACAGGCTCACGGTCTGTCCGGTGTTGAGTGGTTATAGGAGCCCATAGACAACAGGTCTACCGTCTAATAAGATCTGAAAATTGACCCTCATTTAACCTAGACCTCAACCCTTTAGACTTCAAATTATAGTCAGCTTTTTAGAGGACATGGCCTGCTCTAAACAACACGGCGACAATGAGTCTCTTAAAAAATTTTGGGGCAAGCAGTGGCGAAATTTCCCTTGAAAACCGTGCGTAAATCCATAGATTCGTGGCTAAATAGATTAAAGGCCTGCATAAAAGCCAAAGGTGGCCATTTCTGTCCTTCATTTTGCAACGACCAAATTTCGAAAATTCAAAATATTTCGTAGTTCTTGCTTATTTCGCGTTTGCAATTATATTTCACTAGCGGCTCGCACCCGGCTCCGCTCGGGTCTTTAACAAAAATTTCAACGATATTTGGCGTTGTTTTATTTTTTTAAATAAAAGAACACTTATTGCGGCATAACTATAATAGTTAGGCATATGCTGTTGGGACACTTTTTGTAAATAATAATCGTCGTACAAAGTCGTAGTACATTATTTTATTAAAAAAAAAAAAAATTATACCCTATGTCACTCGGGAATAGTGTAGCTTTCACTCAAGCTTCAATTTTTCAAATGGGTTCAGTAGTTTCGGAGCCTATTCAATACAAACAAACAAATCTTTCCTCTTTATAATATTAATAGTATCGAAGTATATATTGCATTCTTATTAAATTCATAATAAGCTAATTTCAGCCGGTACACCATGATATGAGTTTCTGTTGAACTTTAACATCGGGACGAGAACCTGGCCGACCTCAAGCGTGAGGTCGATTGTTTGGTAACCGCCACTGTTCTTGACGACTGCCACTGCCTACTAACAACGCCGCCACCAGAGCCTGGACATCATTTATTTGTGCAGATTGACTTTGCATTAGTCCGCAAATATAAGATTGATGTCGCGTTAGATAAGATTATTTGGTGAGAAGCGAAGGGATACACAAACCGAAAACTGCCAGCTTCGATCGTAACTTAATAACAATGGATTCTCAACGAAATAAATAATAGTTTAAAAAACTAACAAAATACGCTTTTATAGGAAATCCAACTAAAAAATAGAAAATAAATTTGAATTAAAAATAGTGTATGAAAATATGATTTAATTGTAAAAAAGCATGGGGTGCTTTTTATTTTTTTTATTGCTTAGATGTGTGGACGAGCTCACAGCCCACCTGGTGTTAAGTGGTTACTGGAGCCCATAGACACCTACAACGTAAATGCGCCACACACCTTGAGATATAGTTCTAAGGTCTCAGTATAGTCACAACGGCTGCCCCACCCTTCAAACCGAAACGCATTACTGCTTCACGGCAGAAATAGGTGGGGCGGTGGTACCTACCCGTGCGGACTCACAAGAGGTCCTACCACCAGTAATTACGCAAATTATAATTTTGCGGGTTTGATTTTTATTGCACGATGTTATTCCTTCACCGTGGAAGTCAATCGTGAACATTTGCTGATTACGTATTTCATTAGAAAAATTGGTACCCGCCAGCGGGATTCGAACACCGGTGTATCGCTCGATACGAATGCACCGGACCCATAACCCTTCTACTCATATCTGTTCATAAAATATTTATAACTACTGATACCATGCACCCCACCCTTTTTTTTTACAATAAAATTATTTTTACTTACACTATTTTTAATTCGAATTTATTAAAATTTATTTTCTATTTTTTTATTGGATTTTATATAAAAGCGTGTTTTTTTAGTTTTTTTAAACTATAATATTATTTATTTTTCATTTTTTAGTTGAATTTAAATTTTTTCAATTTTTTTGTAAATATTGAATTGTCATCAGTCCTTAATAAGTATAGGTACCAAATTTAGAGTTAATCCGACGTTTTGAAGGTGGTCAAAATCATGTTTAAAGATTCCGTTACATACATACGTCTGAAGCTAATAAAAGCGTATTAAAAAAGAGGATTATATCATCATATTTTATTGAATAACAAATCGACGTGCTGATCACTCGGCTGCCATGACGTCATCCTGGGCCTCGGCGAGGACGATCGGCTTCAGGTCCTCACTGCTCCAGTCGAAGTTGACGCCGGTCACCTCATAGAACCAGTCGTGGTAGTGACCCGGCCGAACGTACCCTAGAAGACACAGTGTTCGCTTAGTCTCTTCCGTCACTCGTAATATCCAAGGACCAAGTGTTATTGCTTCGATTTTTTTTCATTGTTAAGATGGTTAGTTGAGCTCACGGGCCCACCTGGTGTTTAAGTGGTCACTGGAGCCCTGCGGCCGCCCATCTTGAGACATGAGTTGTAAGGTCCATGAGGGTTCACAAGACTTCCTACCACTGCCATTAGTTATTTAACTTTGTGTTTTGCTTCGATGGGACACTATACTCCATATTTATCGTTTTTTTAGACAAATTGTGGGTAGGATAAAATGAATTGTATCTGTAATACGGTTCCATGGTGACGTTAACAAAATAAAATTGTAAGTGCTGTAAATTTTGCCGTATGAGCACGGAGTCTAAGCCCGTAACGAGTGTGTACAGAACTTCAACAACTGCACGAAGCTACCCTCGCACGAAGCGGGAGCATTGACCTCGCGCGCCAGCTAATTTTCAACTTATTACATTGTGTTAATGTACATCCTTAGTTACGCCCTTATTACCTGAGGGATGAGGACTGTTGCAACCATCTCGGTGTCCGAAGCTGACTACGCCGACCATGGTGGGCTGTCCATCTTCATCAACGATGGTCAAAGGACCACCACTGTCTCCCTGCAACAACATGTATGTTTGTATAACACCGAGTAGGTGAGCTGACGGGGTTCTAACCTGTGGACGTTGCTAACAGTAACCCTAGCAAGAGCAGTGCTTTGGAGAATCAACCACCGGATTGGAAACGCGACTCACTGAGAAGATTCGGCGAGAAACTCAGTGGGCTGTGTCTGGGTTAAATTACTCGTCGAACCCTTCGTCGCGAGCAACGGGTTCGACGAGAACGGTGACCTGAGTTTTAGGTACCTAAAAGCACTGTTATTAAGAGCAGTGCTTCGCTGAATCTACTGGAGGATCGGGGTCCCGGCCCCCTGATATGATCCGGCGAGAAACTCAGTAGGCTGTGTCTGTGGGTTAGGTTGTATGTCGAACTTTTGGTAGCATTCGACAAGTTACTTTATGATTTTCTTTTTTTATAGCCCTTGTAGGCAGACGAGCATACGGCCCACCTGATGGTGAGTGGTTACCGTCGCCCATGGACTTCAGCAATGCCAGGGGCAGAGTCAAGCCGCTGCCTACCGCGCCAAATGACACATCAAAACACTATTAACATTCAACGGGTAGGTACAATTAGGAGATTTTATAAAAACTCTGGGAACACCCTTAACTGAATAGTTTTATGGAGGAAAAGGAATAAAGAACCCTATTAAAATCTATTTGACAATTTTTGTGTACCCTAATACAGTAAGATGCAGGGGTAAGTTCATTAGAAAGAACATAACTAATTATGTTTTCGGGATTCGTGTTAGATGTTTTACTGATAGAACGTATAGAGCTCGCAATAAAATAAGCCCTGACTGAGTATCTGCAGATTCTTCGTATTCGAAGGGGGGGGTAAAGCCGTGAATAAAAGCGTCTGTAAAGAACTTCAGTTGATTGGATCTTCCTTATTTAGAACGGTAGGACTTGAAGACTTCGAGTTGAACCCAATCTCAGTGTTGACGCCCTTGGTCTTTGGCAACCATTTAACACCAGATGGCCAGGACCAGGAAATTTTTCACTGGCAGACGCTTATGAATGCAGTTGTCGCGGTCCTATATATTATAAAATGGTGCACAGAAAATCCGGTTTGTCATTGCACACTTTGACAATGATCTTCAACTTTATTGCGGGAAGGATGTGCCTGGATTCAACTTACCTGGCACGAGGACTGTGCGGTGTCGTTGTAGTAAGCGGCACATATGGTCTGCTCCTGGATGACCCGGCTGTTCGGGTAGTGGGTCATACACTGCTCGTTGGTGATACCACGCAGATGTACCCACAATAGGATTTCTGACGCCACGCCACCTGCTCACGTAATGCCACGGTAACTTAGATGCGTGAATGAGCACGAAATGCCTTGTATTATTTACAGTAGCACTGGTTTTGGTTGAAAAAGTGGAAGTATTGTGTTACTGTTTGGAGTTTGGACTGAGAGAGCAACTATTGGCTCATCGGAATTCCGTGGAGTGAGGTGGCGAAACAAATATAAATGATTTAAATTATACTTTTTATTTATTTATTGCTTTGTTGGGTGGACCAACTCACGACCCACCTGGTGTTAAGTGGTTACCGGAGCCCATAGACATCTAAAACGTAAATGCGCCACCCACCTTGAGATATAAGTTCTAAGGTCTCAGTATAGTTACAACGGCTGCCCCACCCTTCAAACCGAAACGGATTACTGCTTCACGGCAGAGATGTGCGAGGCGGTGGTACCTACCCGTGCGGACTCACAAGACGTCTTACCACCAGTGAAAACTGTCATTATGTCGCTTCGAAAAATCCTTCAGTAGTAGACGGGTCAATTTAGGGGCGGTGTCAGCATTGCGGTCGTGTAGAGCAGAGCGAGTAGCAATTAGGTTGAAAACGTTCTTTAGTATCGTGCCAACTCGCCCTTTCTCTTCGGCTTCTGTCGTGACGACATCCGGTCCGGTTGGGTCTCAAGCGACGGGGTCACTAATTCCCAATGATTCTTTAGTAAAAAAAAATTTTTTTGCCCTTTTAGACAGACGAACTTACGGCCCAACTGATGTTGAGTGGTTACCGTCGCTCGTGGACTTCGGCAATGCCAGGGCAGAGCCAAGCCGCTGCCTACCGGCTCGGTACCTTGGTCTACCGTCAAAATCAAAACATACCGTTCCATGGATCATCCGTACGTCCGTAGCCGCTGACGGTGAAGACCGCGCCATCGTAATTGATGTTCTTCTGTTCACTGTTCTGTAGTCTGCAGGGCTGGATGGTACCTGGTTCATATGGGTTGGTTGAGAGAGACTATTATGGAAGTGCTTTTGTGGGGGCACAGAGCTGCGACGCAGAAGTTGTTTACTAATGATAAGTCTGGATTTTACTAACTCAATTTAATACACACAATCACTTACAAATGTTCTATGTTCTACAAATGTTCTATTCAAATTCAAATTCAAAATCATTTATTTCAACTTGGATGTCATCAAAAACACACTAGTTGAATGTCAAAATATAAATGAAAATGTTAACTCTACTACCGGTTCCAAAAAAAGTCACAGTCCTGAGAAGAACCGGCGAAACAAACTCAGCGGGCTCTTTTTTTTTTTTTTTTTTTCTCAAATATTTTCTTTTTTTTTTAAATAAGATGTTCTAAATGTTATTGTTATATGTTAATGTTTTAATCAATAAATGTTAATGTTAAATTTTACGGTCACGAGGACCGGAGCCGACTTCCGCGGAACCAGGTTGTTGTACGACTGTTGATACTGATCAACCGCAACTTTAAATAAACGTGCAGTGCTAAAGCCTTTAAGGCTTCGTCAAACAGAACGCGTAATTAGCGCGCGTCAGAGCGCTAAACTGACGGCGCGCTACTTCGATCAACAATACTATTGTTGATCGAAGGCGCGCTATGACGCCGACATGTGTTGTACTACTATGGCAACATACCGTCAAACAGAGCCCCAGCGCTATAAGTACGCAACGCTCTGTCGCGGCGTTAGGACGCTTTGACGTCAGGCGTTGTAATTTTTTACAAATTTTATTTTAGCGTCCGAGTGAATGTGTATTAAAATACTGGATAATGCCCGAAAAATTTATAGAAATAGTTAGAAAATATACTTATGCTTATACAATGCCACATCTGAATCACTCGACATCTTAATACTTTTAAATCTACCACACTGCTATCGAAAGGCACTATGATTTGGCATTACGTTGCGTCAAGGAGCGTTGGGCTCGTCTAATCAATTGGTGTGACATGAAAAGAGCGCGACGTTAAAACGCGGCGCTAAGTACGCGTTCTGTTTGACGAAGCCTTAAGACGTTCGGCCGTATTACAACCGAACAGCTTTTATTATAGTCCTATCAGAAAATGCTGAAACAACTACCGTTGAGTTCAAATCACGTCCGGGTCACCACTATCATTATGACATATTTAGTTCCTATCACAATCTGTTCTTTTCTGCATATTACTTTTACAAAATAATGTCGATGTTTCACATCTGCCAGGCGTCCCGTGACGGCTCACATTTTTATTTTCAAAAGTAATTGTAAACTAAGTGTTAATTTAAGTAATAAACGAAACACAATCTACATCCGGTTTTGCAATCAGTGTGCTTAGTGCGAGTTTTTTAACGTTTTCGATATCGTAAAAGTTAGCTCATATTTGTATGGAATGGGATCGTTTGCGTACGTTTGCCGCTAGGGGCGCTGTTCCAATTGCATACAAATTTAAGTTAACTTTTACGCGATCGAGAATGTTAAGAAACTCGCATTAAGCACACTGTTCACTTGATCGCAGTTAGCTGACAGAGCATTCGTCCAAGACAGTCCTGTGTTTGAAATCGGATTCCTTCGCGGTAATTCCTTAAGCAAGTTAGGGGTTACAAGTGCTTAGAACGAACCTTATTCGAATATCTAACCACTAGCGGCCCGCTCCGGCTCCGCTGGTCTTTAACAAAAATTTCAACGATATTTGACGTTGTTTTATTTTTTAAAATAATAGAACACTTATTGTGGTATAACTATAACTAGTGGTCCCGTCCCAATTCGACTATAATGAATTGAAATTATAAATTGCAACATTATTATGGTCCTATTGTTACAGATTTCGCCAAGACTACACTATAGACAAATACTCGTAATATTAAAGATAAACAATACTAACCTATTCCCAATTTGACTACAGACTTTAAGCAATAACAAAAGTTTGACAATAAACAAAGAGTATATGTGTGTGTGTCAAATACATGGTCGTGTGTGTAATGTTTTCTTTATTGATTTAATGTATCTTTTATGCATTATTTTAAAAAAAATAGTTGCATTGTGCACTTCTTCTCTATATTCTCTATAAGTGTGGAAAATTTCATACTCCTCCGTCCGCGCAATTTTCGTAAAAAGGGATACAAAGTATTTGCTACACGTATTAATATATAGATAGTAAGACATGCTGTCGCGACACTTGTAAATAATAATGTGTTCAACAAAGCTGTAGTACATTATTTTCTCATCAATAGTTTTCGCAGGGCACGCGATGTAAAGCACATTTTAGGTAATTGTTTTACACCTTGGGTTACATTATGGGAGTTTTGGCAAGGAACCCTAATTTTTTTCAAAAAAGATTATACCCTATGTCACTCGGAAATAGTGTAGCTTCCAAACAGTGAAAGAATTATTCAAATCGGTTCAGTAGTTTCGGAGCCTATTCAATACAAACAAACAAACAAATCTTTCCTCTTTATAATATTAGTATAGAAGTATCTACGAATAATTAATAATAAGTCTTATTCGTAGAGAAGTATAGATAAATTAAAATAATAAGCGTAATGACTCACGTGTGTATGGAATGTGATGGTTTAGCTTAACCAGCGCGATGTCGTCGGTTTGGACTCCGGCTATAATTTCAATGTACCCCGGATGAATGAACTTGTGTGTGGTCTCGACCAAGTAATCCGGGCGGGTCAGGTTCGTCAATCCCAAACGCACCACGAAGTTGATGCGACTGTAACAAATGCATTGCATTGTTAAAGGGTATATACATATATAGTTGACATAACTTATCACTCAGTAAGTAGCTAAAGTCGGCATCATTGCGCCACTTTGAAAAGACGGCACGACATGAGAACCCTCTTGTCGTGGCCGCTGGAAATTACATACCCGATCCTGTGACTAAATGGTAAACAGTCGACGTCGCCTAAAACACGTCATTACGGATCCTCCCGACCCATTAACGGTGCTCTTAGGTACCACAAGCACCGGTCACAGTCCTCGTCGGACCCGTCGCTTGCGACGAAGGGCTCGACGAGCGAATTAAGCCACAGACACAGCCCACTGAGTTTCTCGCCGGATCTTCTCAGTGGGTCTCGTTTCCGATCCGGTGGTAGATTCTGCGAAGCACTGCTCTTGCTAGGGTCAGTGTTAGCAACACTCCGGTTGGAGCCCCGTGAGCTCACCTACAAGCTCGGCGAATCCAGAATAACCCCTTGAGGTTACTAGAATAGGTATGAAAAAAAAAACCGACGATACCGCAATCGTGCTGCCATCAGCTCTCGGGTATCGTGCTGCGTTTCGTTTAGCTACTAAACTAATGACAGTCTCCGACATATAAATAATAAACATCTAGACAAAGTGGAAATAATCATTACACAATATTTGGTAGATGTGGAAATCGAACCCAGGACCTTTGGCGCAACAGTCGCGGCGTTACCTGCTACACCGAGTGAGTCGAATTAAATGTTAGGTAGTATCTATTATCTGCAAAATCTCCATATCTAATCATTAAGTTTTCAAACTCATCGTCACACAGACTCGAAGTATTAAATCCTGTGTTACAGGATTGTATTGCTTAGATGGATGGACGAGCTCATAGCCCACCTGGTGTTAAGTGGTTACTGGAGCCCATAGACATCTACAACGTAAATGCGCCACCCACCTCGAGATATAAGTTCTAAGGTCTCAGTATAGTTACAACGGCTACCCCACCCTTCGACCCGAAACGCATTACTGCTTCACGGCGGAAATAGGCGGGGTGGTGGTACCTACCCGTGCGGACTCACAAGAGGTCCTACCACCAAACGGCATTGTGTTTAAATTAGATTTGCACTTTTGTCAACTTACTTGGCGACGCAGTGAGCCGCAGTCAGGACCCATTCGTGGTGAATAATTGAACCGCCGCAGGAGCTGACTGCCCCGACGGGGCTGACCATACGAATGCTGACCTGATGCGGGATCTGAGCGTCTTCTGCAGGCCAACCGGCTACGATGCGAGATTGGCGGTCCGCTGAATCGGAAAGATAGTTCTCTGGTAAGTTGATTTAATGGCTTTTCGCAAATTAAAGATAAGAATGGTTTTTTTTCTTCTTTGTCTCCACCTTATCCCACTAGGTGAGGTCGGCACAGCGAATTTTACTATTCCATTCCCTTCTATCAGCCGTCATCTCAACACTCACTCGTCTCTCTCTCATATCGTCATTCACACACTCCATCCATGTCTTCTTCGGTCGACCTCTTCCCCCTCTACCTTGCACTACCATTTCCATACATCTCCTGGTCACATGCATCTCTCTACGCATCACATGTCCATACCACGCTAAGCGTCCGCTCTTTAATTTATTAATTACCGGGGCTACTTTCACACTTCCTCTGATATACTCATTAATATACCTACGTCTCACTTTATACGTTGTGGTTACCATCGATCATGGTTAGTAGATGAGGGCATAGGCTGCATCAAGGTTTCTGCATACGTCGTTTGAAAAAACATCGAGAAGTAGAGGAAGAAGTAGAAGGAGAGGAGAAGGAATTCCTCAGAAACTTCGAAATAAAAATTTATTTGACTGGTACGTATCATTGTTGATTTTAGATAAATATTTTAAATGATGTTGGGATTTTTTTTCCTACCTATGCTGATAGCCTTGAGAGGTTATATCAGCTTCTTCTTGACGTGTAGGTGAGCCCACGGGGCTCAAACCGGGTGTGTTGCTAACACTGATCATAGCAAGAGCAGTGCTTCGCAGAATCTACCACCGGATCGGAAACGGGACTCACTGAGAAGATCAAGCGAGAAACTCAGTGGGCTGTGTCTATGGGTTAATTCACTCGTCGAGCCTTTCGTCACAAGCGACGGGTTCGACGAGGACGATGACATGGGTATTTAAATACATAATTCGCTACCGATAACACGATTTTAATAGGAACTCAAATTGGTTTTTCCATATCAACACACGTTGATGTAGCAATAGCAAGTTGACGGCGATAATATAGAACATTGCAAGCAATGCAAAAGTACCTAAATATCTGACACAGCTACAGAGCTCGCTAGGGATGGCCCAATGTTAATTTCAATAAGTGAATTTAATTCTATGACAATAGTAATTGAATATGCAATTTCGAAAAGGGCACATGTCGCATATTTTGTCAAATACGTTTTTTCATATACGTGTAGTTTTGAGGCTTACCTACACTCATTTTATAACAATTCCAATAATTTTCAATTGCTAATTAACACTAAAATATACATCAAAAGTTAATATTTAAAATTTTACACTGCTTTAGAAAATAATCAGTTTTTTTTTCATTTCCTGAACATTTTACATTTTCAGAGATGTGCCCTTTTCGAAGTTGCATATTCAATTATTATTTATTTCTATTAAATAACAGAGCCGTTCTATATTGAAATAACAGTTTCTTACTGTTTCGGAGATCTTCGATGATCGCCTCTGATCCGGCATTAAGCGGATTGCCCTGCAACAAGGAATAAATATGTTTTTAATTTGAAATGTATCCTGTAGGAAGAAGAAAAACAATATAATTAATATTTCGACCTCATGTCATTAGGTAGTGGGGATTCATGTCTATGGGCACCCGCTATCGTAACCGGTCCAACCACCTAAGCCAATAAATGAAGGAATAGTATCGTGTAATCAAAAATGAGTCACTATAGTGTTGCGTAATTTTTTTTTTTTTCTACCTATGCTGATAGCTTTGAGAGGCTATTTCAGCGTAACCTTAACTAGTAGGTGAGCTCACGGGGCTCAAACCGGAGTGATGCTAACACTGACCCTGGCAAGAGCCGTGCTTCGCAGAATCTACCACCGGATCGGGAACGCGACCCACTGAGAAGATCCGGCGAGAAACTCAGTGGGCTGTGTCTATGGGTTAAGTTGCGTAATCATTGAGGTTTCAATGTTCACGCAATGAATTTTTTTTATTGCACAGATGGGTGGACGAGCTCACAGCCCGCCCGGTGTTGAGTGGTTACTGCAGCCCATAGACATCTACAACGTAAATGCGCCACCAACCTTGAGATATAAGTTCTAAAGTCTCAGTATGGTTACATAATGTGTTATACGTCATTATAATGCGTCAATGATTATGAGTCTGAGCGGGTAGACACCACCGACCTGTCCCTGTTTGTTGGGTGTCGGTTTAAATGGGGGAACAGCCGCGATACAGTTGAGACTTCAGCTATGATTTTCAGGAGTCTTAGCGGCACTTCTACTGGTGGTAGGGCCTCTTGTGAGTCCGCACGGGAAGGTGCCACCGCCCTGCCTATTTGTGCGACTTTAGAACGCATATCTCAAGGTGGGCGGCGGCATTTACGTTATAGATGTCTATGGGCTCCAGTAACCACTTAACACCAGGTGGGCCGTGAGCTCGTTCACCCATCTTTGAAATAAATAAATAAAAATTGCGGCGAGAAATAATATCGAGGGGCTATTTGGTTTAAGCGGCATTTATCTTTGTAATTAAAGGTGCGTTACATTTGGCATTAGCATCAACAGTTCAATGTTTTTAATTGAACTTTAATTAAGCTTACTTCATTGAAATAGCTGAAGAAGATTTTTTGTTCACGAATTTTTTTCCAAATTTTAAACTTTAAATGGCTTCTCCTGTAAGGTTGCAATAATGTCGTTTAAACCAAATAATCTCTCGATACCATAAATTAAAAATAATTTACCTGAACAAGGGATACAGTATATAAAATGCAAATCAGGTACGCGACCGCCATTTTACCGGCCATGATTGCTACTGATGACACGGAATTCAAATTCAATTTATAGAATTAGAACAGATTATTTACGTCACGTCGATTACGCGTATCGTCTAATCCGAGATAAATATGATCAATTACGATTAATTAATAATGTTTTTGCTTTAATTACGTACCTGTCGTTTCACTGTGCGAAGGAAATGACAGGCCTATTTAGGCGTTTGCGAAAGTCTTGTAAATATATCTTCGAAACAGGAATGGTAATGTTACGCGCTGGGGTTCGGGATAAATAAAATTTCACCAAAGTACCTCATCCCTAGAATTATCGTGAATATTCTTCACAACTCTATTCGTAGTTTTCCGCGATCTGTCAATAGATGGCGTTGTAATTCTCGAGAATTCTGGATCCTTCGATATTCGTTTCGACTATTCGGCGATAGATGGCGTTACTCTTACCAGCGTAACAGTAATTTTAAATTAGACTTTTTTCTTACTTAAGCGTTGATAAGCTTCTTTTTTATGTTTGAGAATTTACTGGTGGCCCGGAGACCTTTCCAGTTTCCCTAGGGCAGGTGGGCGAGCAAAGGCTCAGCCAGGAGGGGTGGGAATTGCTAACAGCCACCCGAACGCCTCCAAAGGAGACCTAACGACTCAAGAGTAGCTGTTTTGCGAATGAATCTACTACCGGATCGGAATCGTGACCCGCTGAGGAGATCCGTCGAGAAACTCAGGTTTAGGTTAGGTTGCACGTCGAACTCTTTGTCGATTTCGACGAGTACGGTTACCGGGGTCCCTAAGCCTACTCCTATTCCTTCCTGCCTGCTGCTAAAGGTGTCTAATGCAAGGGTTATTGGATTTGATAGATCCGTCAGGACGTGGGTTGATAGTCTAAAGGGCTATTTCCACTATGAGCAGAGCGGTAGGTGAGCTGACTGGCTCAACCTGAAAGCATCGATAACACTGATCCCGGCAAGAGCAGTGATTCGATGAATCTACCACCGATTCGAAATCGCGACCCACTGAGACGGTTTGGTGAGAAACATAGTGGGTTGTATCTATGGGCTAGGTCGCAGATCGAACTCTTCGTCGTGGTTCGACGAGTTCGAGGAAGACGGTGACCGGTGCTTGAAGAGCCTAAAATCGCCGACAGTGGATCGGCAGGATTCGCCATTGTACGATAGCTCAGTTTTATTGAATTTTTAAGTTTTAAAGAATTACGGACATTTTTTGTTTTTTTTTTATTGGCTTTACTAATGCATTTAATTGCTATTATTTTTGTCTCTTTTCAGTATTATTTATTTAAATTTACATTATTTGCTTTTTTATTTGTATTATATTTTGTTTCGCATTTGAAAAAAATACAAAACTGTTCCTGTATTTACTCAAATAATGATCAGTCGGTCTGTTGCTGGTATCGGCGGAAGATCAGCGCCGCAGTACCGATTGAGTGGTTAATGTTACGCATTGCTGAACCCTTTCCAAGCCTCGTTATTTTTCTTTTATTTATAGTGTTTTTTTGAACTTTTGTAATTTTTTGTTGGAAAAATGTTTTTATTATTATTATTATAGTCTTCGAAGCCCGCCACTAGAGTAGAGTTCATCCATATTACTTGCAGCCACTGAATTCATCCACAGTACGTTTCCAGAGATCTTTTTTGCCACGTACCATCCGACTTTGGAATGAGCTCCCCTCCACAGTGTTTCCCGAGCCCTATGTCACATCCTTCTTCAAACGAGGCTTGTAGAGATTAATTACTTAACGGTAGGCAGCGGCTTAGTTCTGCCCCTGGCATTGCGAAAGTCAATGGGCGACGGTAATCACTCACCATCAGGTGGGCCGTATACTCGCCTGAATAAAAGGGCAATAAAAAAAGTTTTGAAGTCGTCGTGGCTTAAAAGATAAGATGCCCGAGGCATGCAACTGTTCCAATGTTTGAACCTCGTACGTATGAACCAACTTCTAATGAAATACGTGCTTAAAAAATGTTCATGAATGGCTTGCACAGTGATTGAAATTAAAGTTGTGTAAAAATATTTGCCCCCAAAAATTATAATTTGCCCAATAATTGGTGATAGGACGTCTTGTGAACCCGCACGGTACTACCATTCTGCCTATTTCTGGGGTGAAGCAGTAATGTGTTTCGGATTCAAGGATGCGGCAGTCGTATAACTGAGTCTCAGAACTCATGTCTCAAGGTGGATGGCGGCGGTTACGTTGTTGATGTCTATGTGCTCCGATAAACGGTTAACACGAGGTGGGTCATGAGGTCGTGCATCCATTTAAGCAATTGAAAAAAAAACAAAATTCAATGATTTAATTATTAATTATAATAAAAATGAGATAGCGGACACGGGCTGATTGATTTTTGAATGCATTGAAATATTCGAAAATCTTGCAATATCTCATAGTATTTGAGATTATTTGTTTGAATTAATTGTAAACTCAATATATTATAATATATTATAATAAATTCTTATATTAAATTCAATATATTATAATTAAAATATATTGAATCGTAATAATATATTGAATCTGCTATCTCGTACATTTCACACGACCATTACAAGGATTTATTTCCCGTAACTAGCCGAATATCCTGTTATTTCTTTATGAATAATTGTGGCAAGCAAACGGTTTTTACTTATCATTCGACATTCAACATCTTTTCGTATACAATTATGGCACTCTTGTATAAATTGATTGAAAGTATGCTTAAAATTAAAATTTGAATAGTACACTATTCAAAAAGACAAACCAATCTGATTTTATTCAACATTTATTTACTCCTTAAGCAACTGTATAACAAACAAATCACCCATAAATATCAGTAAATCAATGTAATGTTAATTATTTTATTGATACTTATCAATAATAGTTATCAATAATACTTATCAGAAATAGAAACACCGTCAGAGCAGAAATGAAATTTGAAAAAAATTTAAAAAGGAAACGAAATTTTGTTTGAAATATAGAGGTCCATAACTTATTAAATATGCATTATTAAAACCACTGTTTTTTGAAATTTTTGTATCAAATCTAGGAAACCGTAATGCATTTACAGAAACGACGATTTTTCGACTCTTTCATTCCCGAATATAGACGAAATATTATAATAAAAATAATCAAAACAATATCTAAATTAAGTTTTGAACTGTCCAACTTGAAACTCAAATTCTGAAATCAGCATGTTTATCTTCTAATAACCATCAAGATAATATATTATAATAATCAACACGACACTCCAAAGTTTTGAATCGAAAAATTCCGGACAAATTCGCTCAATGCTGCGTTATCAATGAGTGAAAATGGTACATAAAATTAGTGAGGATGAGATGTCGTCGTTGTCGTTGAGGGGTTCCCGAAATTTTAGCTGATAACAATGTCAAAGACGCTCCAGTCGAAGTTGATGCCGGTGACCTGTTTCAGCCAGTCGTGGTAGAACTCTGGTCGGACGAAACCTGAAATGATGAATTGTAGACTAACTAAAGCCAGTCGTCGTGGCCTAAAGGATAAGACGTCCGGTGCATTCGTGTTGAGCGATGCAACGGATGTTCGAATCCCGCAGGCGGGTACCAATTTTTCTAATGAAATACGTACTCAACAAATGTTCACGATCGACTTCCACGGTGAAGGAATAACATCGTGTAATAAAAATTAAGCCCGCAAAATTATAATTTGTGTAATTAACGGTGGTAGGATCTCTTGTAAGTCCGCACGGGTAGGTACCACCACCCTGCCTATTTCTGGCGTGAAGCATACCTCAAGGTGGGCGGCCCATTTACGTTGTAGATATCTATGGGCTCCAGTAACCACTTAACACCAGGTGGGCTGTGAGCTTGCCCACCCATCTAAGCAATAAAATATAATTGTAAGCCCGCATGGGTATTTAGTTAGGTGCAAACATCTTCCCTATTTGCCGTGAAGTAGTCTATTCTAGTAGGCCTATTCCAGTTTGAGGGGTCGTAACAAGTACAGCTATGACTTCTACCGCGTAAGTGTCTCTCCATCTCGCGCTATGTGGTATATGGGTTCGGGAAGCCGCGTGACAGGTGTGCCGTCTGCTGATCACAGAAACGCCTGTGAAAAACGTATTACCGGACGGATTGGGTGTGTTGCATCCCCGCGCGTAACCAAAGTTAGTGATGCCTACGATAGTGGGTGAGCCATCGAGATCATCCATAGTCAGGGGTCCGCCACTGTCGCCCTGAAATAAACCAAAATATCTTTAAATAGGAAATAGGAATCATAGGCATAGGGACAAGTAATTGCACAAAACGGTAAAAAACAACACACTAATGTTGTAAAATTTCTAGACCTGTTTTTAAGTGGTATAATTATTATTAGTATATTGTAATTTCATTAGTAAAGTTGACTAGATAAAATTTTACGTAAAAAAGTGGAAGTGGAGCTTAAGAAGCTAAGTGCATGAGGGCACGAGGTGTCAAAAATACCCTAAATCTCCTCTAAATAACCCACCAACACTGAATAACAGAGGTCTGTTTGCAAAGTGAACTTAAAGGTTAGGTTAGGTAAAGTTACTTACTGTACAAATGTTTTGTGAAGTATGATTGTAATATTTCGCGCATAATGTCTGGTCCTTGATGGTTTGACTGTTAGGGTACCAGTTAAGGCACTCCTCGTTCGTGATACCCAATTGATAGACCCAGCTCAAGACCTCGGGGACATAGCCGCCTGAAATAGGAACTACAGATAAGAAAGGCTCTGGTTTCAGTAGCTCAGGGTGGGGGTTGTTCTTTAAGGCGCTGGTCACTCCTGGTCATGGTCGAAACATTATTTTTTTTTATTTATTATTTATTAACACTTTATTTTAGTTTTTTTTTTTTTTTAAACCATAACATTTTTTTAGTAATAATTACTTATAATGTATGTTAGTAACTAAAACTATCATTATATACATTTTATACCATTATATATTTTTTTTTCTCCTTCCAAGTGCCTACTGCAAAGGCTATTGATCAGCAGTCCCTCGAACTTGCTCGATATGATTCTTAAAAGACTGTTGCCACTGTCACGAACTCGACGCAATAACGATGCACTTCTCTTCCGCATTATTGCAAAGAAGTCATCGGTGTGAGATGTCGCAAACATTGTGGATGCACTACAAAAGCGCGGCAGTGACAACATCATCCTAAACGCATTATTATATTGGACACGTAGGGCATTGTAAGCTNATTGTGGATGCACTACAAAAGCGCGGCAGTGACAACATCATCCTAAACGCATTATTATATTGGACACGTAGGGCATTGTAAGCTCTCCGCGTGTATGTGGTCCACAGACTACTGGCGTAAAAATTCTGGCAATAAGCTTTAAAAATTGTAAGTTTGACATAGCTATCGCAACCAGTAAATCTGCGGGCCAGCATATTGCATCTTACTATTAACGCCCTACGCTCCCTATCTATATCACAATCATCCGTACCATCCTCTGTTACCCAGTGACCGAGGTACTTGAAGCGCTTGACTTGTGTAAGCGTTGCGCCCGCTAGCCAGATTGGAGGTACGTTCTCGTAAGTTTTGTTCTGCGCTTTGAACACTAGCAGTTCACTCTTCTTGGCATTGTACCTCAGCCCGTGGGACTCAGCATAGTTCTCCCAAATTTTTAAAAGTTTCCTGAGTGCACTCATAGATGGGCTCAGCAATACCATATCGTCTGCATAACTAATATTGTTAAAAGAAACTCCATCGATCATGCAGCCGACACCAACACTACTGAGCTCATCGATGAGCTTTTTTCATATATATGCTAAATAGCAAAGGTGAGGTTAGACCCCCTGCCTCACACCACATTCTAAACGGTACGCATCAGAGTGCGCACCGGCCCATCTCACACTATTATTTTGATTGCCATACCAATACTGAAATAAGGACAGAGACTTGGCTATGCCGACGGTGACCATCGTTGGCCATTTTCGTTTGCCTATGAAGACAATAAAAAAAATGAAGCAGCCTATTGAAATGATAAATTGCTAAAACGATAGATTTATATTATTTAATTTAGCGTCTAATCTGTGCTCCACGTCTGTTCGTGTACTGGATGTCTATTGTCTATGGCGTCTAGTTTTGTCTGTGGCAGATGAGTGACAGCGCCATTCATAGATAATACACTTAATATTTAAGAGCGCCATTAACGATAGTGCAGTAATTGAACCCAACTTATAATGTGATTATCATTTTCTAAGTGTACATTAGTATAGGGTATTCATGCTTTTTGTGATTCGTAGACATAATCAAACCTACTTTAACGTATGATATAAAAACGCGCGATTAAACCGTACATGTAATTAAGTATTAGTATACATCAGTAGCTGGAGGAGACAAAGTGGTTTGAAAGATGCCAGAGGGGGCCTTATCCGAGAAGGGATTCCGATCAATGATTCAGAAGAAAGTAATGATAGCTTGTAAAATAAAATGAAAGAAATTCTACCCTATTAAATAGCATGTAATAACTATATTATTATGGTTTGGAAATAAACGGGCTTTATTATTATTATTATTATTATACATCGAAAGGCAGGGCGCGGTACTGTATCTGTGCCCCTAGAATTCCTGATATCCATGAAGGATGATAAAAACTCTCCATCAGATTGGCCGTATGCTTGCGTTTCTACTAAGACAAAAAAAAAGATTATTTATAAGTATGTACACAATGCCTTGTAAATTTAACAAAAATAATAATAATTTTTTTAAGTATCTACTTAATTTTACTCGGTACGTGCCTAGAAGTTATAAACTCTGCATTAAGAAAATTTATATTCTTTAGTTAGCTTGTAAAATGTTTCTCTTCAATGAAATAAACTATACAGCTGAATACATAGGCGTAAATTAACTCTCAGACACACCCCACTGAGTTTCTCGCCGGATCTTCTCAGTGGGTCGCGTTTCCGATCTGTTGGTAGATTCTGCGAAGCACGGCTCTTGCTAGGGTTCGTGTTAGCAACGTCACCAGGTTTGAGCCCCGTGAGCTCACCTACTAAAGTTAGGGTTACGCTGACATAGCCCCTAGGGCTATCAGCTTAGGTAGGAAAGAAAAAAAAAAAAAAAAAAAAACAGCGTAGTAAAAAAAAGTTCTAATCCTACCAAGGTTATAAACAAATTAAAAATAAATACTAATACTTAGTTTAAAAAAACTAATAAAACAACGCTTTTATAGAAAATCCAACTAAAAACAGAAAAATAGATTTTAATAAATTTGAATTAAAAATAGTGTAAGAAAAAATGATTTTATTGTAAAAAAAAGCGTGGGGTGCATGGTAAAATTTATTTTCTGTTTTTTAGTTGGATTTTCTATAAAAGCGTATTTTGTTAGTTTTTTTAAACTATTATTTATTTTTCATTTTTTAGTTGAATTTCAATTTTTGCAATATTTTTTTTTTAATATTGAATTGTCATCGGTCCTTAATAAGTATACCAAATTTCGAGTTAATCCGACGTTTTGAAGGGGGTCAAAATCATGTTCAAAGATTCCGTTACAAACATACATACGTCTGAAGCTAATAAAAGCGTATTTATAAATACCTAACAGATGGATTTGTTTTTTTAATGAAAATAGATTATTAGGAACATCTTACCAAGCCATACGTCGTTATTCCTTCCAAAGCCACTGGTGGTCAGTCTCAAGCCATCGTAGTTGAATCTCTGTCTTTCGCTGCTCTGCACACGGATGGGCTGAATGTTTTCTAGAAATATCAAAAGAAAAAAGTTTTTTATTAAGTGACCAGTGATGGAATTTACGATAATACGACACACTGGTATTAATTTGGTCTTTTTGTTAAATTGTATTTCTGTTCCACCCCCCAGCCTGTCACATGAGGTTTTCGTGAAAGATATAGACCCACACGATTACGACAATTCATGAATTTATAAGACACAGATTACGCAAAGTTCTTGCAATATTCTAATCCTTAATTTTATAGATGATTTGCGTAAAGGCCTCTTCAAATTCGTGGTGTAACAGAAAAAAAAAACAAATAAAAAGAATGCTCTAAATTAAAATAATTCACGTTAAGGGAACACCTATCAATGGGTCTGTGGCGGGCAGCCATCACACAGAACAAAAGATATTTGACAGATGCTTGAATCTCGCTTATGAAATTTCAAAGTAATTGCAAAGTAAGCTTGCATATAATATACAAGTTCCGAACAATAACATTTGGACCGTCGGTTTACTGAGAAATATCACCGGCTTTGTGGAAGATCTTCCCTTCATCGTATACATCCACAGATCTCGAAAGAGAATCTACGGAAAGACAAATATGTGCTGATAAAGAATCTTATATAACACATTCCACATTCAGTAAACATTTAGCTAGAGGACAAGGGGGACTTCAACATTATATACTGGTGGTAGAATGTCTTGTGAGTCCGCACGGGTAGATACCACCACCCCGCCTATTTCTGCCGAGAAGTAGTAGTGCGTTGCGGTTTGAAGGGTGGGGCAGCCGTTGTAACTATACTGAGACCTTATATCTCAATGGTGGCGGCATTTACGCTGTAGATGTCTATGGGCTCTGGTAACCACTTAACATCAGGTGGGCCGTGAGCTCGTCTACACATTTACGCAATAAATAAATAAACTTCAAATCTGGTTACGGCAATTCATATTTAGACCGTGTTCTCGTCTCAAACAGAAAGAGAGGGAAACTCACGTCCATACTCCACACGACGGGGCAGCTTCAGGAGAGCGATCTCATCAACCTGCACGGCGGTGGAGCCGACATTGTAGTCAGGGTGCACGTACTTCTCCACTGTCTCCATTATTAACTCAGGACGGGTCAGGTTGGTCAATCCCAAACGGATCACGAATGATTCGCGTCTGAAACAAATGCTTAATTGTAACAATGGATTGGGGGGCGAATTGCGTTTCGGTTTGAAGGGTGGGGCAGCCGTTGTAACTATACTGAGACCTTAGAACTTATATCTCAAGGTGTGTGGCGTATTTACATTGTAGATGTCTATGGGTTCCAGTAACCACTTAACACCAGGTGGGCTGTGAGCTCGTCCACACACGTAGGCAATAAAAAAAAAATAAAAAAAATAAAAAACTGTCGTTAGATGATCGATAGACGTGGTGGAAGTCTTGACTATATTATGATAGGATTGTCCCATTCTTGCGAGATTGCAATGCTGTGTTTGAAGATTTGAGAAGCTGAGAGGCGGGGGCAGGAAGAAAACGGGTATAAGGTATCTAGGAGAGAATACTGCTAGTAAGAGAGGGAAGGAAATGTAATTTAGGATGCCTTCGGGCCACTTTCGGGCAATCTATCAATCACAAAAAAAAAGAACTAATGTAGGATTTTACAAGCCTGTGTTACTGGCCTGTGGCTGTGTTACTAGCCTGTTTTACTAGCTTGTGGCTGTGTTACTAGCCTATGCCTGTGTTTTCTAGCCTGTGTTACTGGCCTGTGGCAGTGTTACTAGCTTGTGGCTGTGTTATTAGCCTGTGTTACTAGCCTATGGCTGTGTTTTCTAGCCTGTGTTACTGGCCTGTGGCAGTGTTACTAGCCTGTGGCTGTGTTATTAGCCTGTGTTACTAGCCTATGGCTGTGTTTTCTAGCCTGTGTTACTGGCCTGTGGCTGTATTACTAGCCTGTTTTACTAGCCTGTAGCTGTGTTACTAGCCTGTTTTACTAATCTGTGGCTGTGTTACTAGCCTGTAGCTGTGTTACTAGCCTGTTTTACTAGTCTGTGGCCTGAGTACTAGCTTGTGGATTTTATTTAAAACACATTAAAGCTCTCAGTCCCTGCAGTACCCTAAATGTAATTTATTTATTTGATCCTTTCATACTTATCTTAAAAAAGATAATTCTAATCCAACATGTAATCTGTGGTTCAAGTACACATACATAATTTTTATTTGATTCGCCTCAACAATTTATTCTTATATTATTTGCGTGTTAATAATTTTCATTTCAATCAAAATTGTTAAAAAAATCCTTTTTTTATTTTTTATTTATTGCTTAGATGGTTGGACGAGCTCACAGCCCACCTGGTCTTTAAGTGGTTACTGGAGCCCATAGACATCCACAACGTAAATGCGCCACCCACCTTGAGATATAAGTTTTAAGGTCTCAAGTATAGTTACAACGACTGGCCCACCCTTCAAACCGAAACGCATTACTGCTTCACGGCAGAAATAGGCAGGGCAGACTCACAAGAGGTCCTACCACCAGTAATAATTTCAGTCTTCTTTAATTCAGTCTTCATGTGCATAATGAAAATATGTGAAAATAACAGGTAATACTAGTTAGTTGAAATAATGTAGCAGTGAAATTTTCTATAATAAATAGATATGTTATGGGATAGTCCACTATTATTTGTTAAAAACAATGCATTAGTATATCTGCCGTTTTCATATCGTACCCATGTCTTTGATAAAAATATAAATAAAATGTTATCATTAAATTCTCGCTAATCAAATATTATTAATGAAAGTTTACATCATTACATTATAAATGGCTTCAAGGACATCCGTAGTGACATTCCTTAATAATAATTCCTTTGAATCGCGTGCAACACTATACCTCCTCGTCGAACCCGTCGCTTGCGACCAAGGGCTCGACGAGCGAATTAACCCATAGACACAGCCCACTGAGTTTCTCGCCGGATCTTCTTAGTGGGTCGCGTTTCCGATCCGGTGGTAAATTCTGTGAAGCACTACTCTTGTTAGGGTCAGTGTTATCAACACTCCGGTTTGAGGCCCGTGAGCTCACCTAAACACGTTAGGGTGAAGCTGAAATAGCCTCTCAAGGCTATCAGCATAGGTAGGGAAAAACGAAAAAAACTATAACTCCAAAATTACTAAAAACTTTAACAAAAAAATCTAAAGAAGATTACTATTATATTCAGATTACAATTTATTAATTTTTTTACATTGCCCACTAAAATAATTTTGAGTTTAAAAACCACAATGCAAAACCGACTTAAAATGCAATTTCTTAAAATTACCATGTCTTTCACATACATAGCGTGGTATGGACATGTTATGCATAGAGAGAAGATGCATGTGACTAGGAGATGTATGGGAATGGTCGTGCAAGGTAGAGGGGGAAGAGGTCGACTGAAGAACACATGGATGGAGTGTGTGAATGACGATATGAGAGAGAGAGAGAGGAGTGAGTGTTGAGATAACGGCTGATAGAAGAGAATGGCAGGGAAAAATTAGCTGTGCCGACCCCACCTAGTGGGATAAGGTGGAGAAAAGGAAGAAGAGGTACATACGTACAAGTATGTGTACATACGTGTGTTTGTTTGTTTAAAAGAGTATGTAGCGGCGAAGTTTTTTTTATTTATTGTTTAGATAGGTGGACGAGCTTACAGCCCACCTGGTGTTAAGTGGTTACTGGCGCCTATAGACATCTACGACGTAAATGCGCCACCCACCTTGAGATGTAAGTTCTAAGGTTCTAAGGTAAGTTATAACGGCTGCCCCGCCGCTTCACGGCAGAAATGGGCAGGGCGGTGGTACCTACCCATGCGAACTCAAAAACTCATGCCAATTTACTTAAGATTAAGATGATTTTCTGTTCAGATTATAAAAATGGGATGTAACTCAAATCTAAGTAATCTAAATTGGCAATCGAATAACTCTTTCAGAAGACTGTTTTATTTTAAACCGGTCATACATGGGCAATAAAAAAAACCTTTCGTATTCTTTCAAAGCAGCGAGATCGATTAATGTGTTAGTTTACCTGGCCACGCAATGAGCTGCTGTTAGAATCCATTCGTTGTGAATGATGGAGCCCCCACACGCGCTGACTCCGCCCACAGGGCTGACGTTTCGCACGCTCACCTTGTAAGGGAACTGTCCTTCTGTGGCCAGCCATCCGCCTATGATACGATTTTGGTCTGCAAAAAAAGGGTAGCATATATATTTTTTACTTTTTTTTTATTGCTTAGATGAGTGGACGAGCTCACAGCCCACCTGGTGTTAAGTGGTTACTAGAGCCCATAGATATCTACAACGTAAATGCGCCACCCACCTTGAGAAACAAGTTCTAAGGTCTCGAGCATAGTTACAGCGGCTGCCCCACCCTTCAAACCGAAACGCATTAGAAATAGGCAAGGTGGTGGTACCTACCCGCACGGACTCACAAGAGGTCCTACCACCAGTAAAAAACATCCGAGATGAGCTCCATAAATGACACTAAAGGACCTCTAATTCGTTCGTTGATAGAACCATGAACCTTTAATGTCACACATTTCAATTGATCTCACTTTCCCTGGACTGAATATTAATTGATCTATCTTAAAGTTAATCTTACCTCTTGAATCGGAACGTGGCATTGCTTAGGAGCAAAAATACACAAGACGGTGACATAGATCTAAAAGGCTTAGAATACCATTAATCTTCCCTTAAGTACTGTTTTGAGGCAGAAGCAAATTTTCGGAGTCATGTTCTCTTTTAGTCTGTGCGCTTTCGGTTCATGCAAAAGGTCAGCCTATCTGTCAATATTTCAGCCTACAGACGTCCACTGCCCGACATAGGTCTCCCTCAAGCCTCGCTACAACGACCAAACCTGTACTGTTGACAGTTGTCACTAACAATCGGCAATAAATCACTAGCAAACCACGTTTTGTATTAAATTGGAAAAGTTCGCTTCAAAACACTTTAATGTTTATGGGAGTTTTACTTTTAGTGTATAGAAAACCATTATGCGCATAGTTATATGTGTATTTCGGACCTATGTATCCATTGTTGCACCATAAATAACTTTGACTGTGTTAGGGCAGCCCTATTTCCTGTTCTAATAAAATCGGGGCTAATGAAATTCAACTCACCATTGCGAGGGATATCTTGAAAGTGGACTGGGTCAGAAGGTATAATTACATCTACAGCTTCCACAGGAACGCCCTGAAAATTGCTTCATAAGCACAGCTTTAAAAGAATAAAAGCCGTACCGGCTTCGCTGGGCATTTAAAATTAACATTATTATTTATTGTCATTATTATTAGGGAGTCCAACACTCATATAAATATTAGCTTATCCATTAAGTACATTTAAGGCGGGTGGCGCATTTACGTTGTGGATGTCTATGGGCTCCAGTAACCGCTTAACACCAGGTGGGCTGTGAGCTCGTCCACCCATTTAAGCAATAAAAAAAAACATGGATACCAAGTTTCAAGTCAATCGGATGCATGGTTGAGTAGTTATAACGGAACATCCGTAAAAACTACTGTAGATTTATATATTAGTATAGATAAAACCGAAATAGGTTTTATTATTTCTTCTGCTCCTTGTTATTGTTAGTTTAATGATGGCATAGTGATAGTGGCACACCTAACAGCAGCCCCGCGTCTAAATTACATTGTATTTTACCTGCGAACCTCCAAAAAGCACAGAACAAATCAAAATCCACCACATGTTTGATTGATTTGCGATTTCCCGTTTCTATAACATAATTTATATTGTCCTCTTATCCAATATTCGATACGATATCTTCACGCCTAATTGGGAGTCTTCGTTCGAAATTCGCAACCGCTGACGTAAGTTTTAATCGTTTTGAAAAGACACGAATGTTTGTGAGAATATACTGTTGCTAAGCTCGAGCCAAATGTTGCAATTTCGGATCTAGACCGAACGTAGTTTGAGTTCTGAAAGACATAGGTGTAAGTATTATTTGGATTTAGCTGTTGGAATATTTAGCTATTAGGTCATGCGTTTGCATCAGAACTATGGTTATCTGGCCCTGAACCCTAAAATGCGAGATTGTTTGAAAAATGAACAGGACTGAACAAGAATAGTGTACCATTGCGGGTTCACGGGGCGGGGTGGCGATGGCGGTGTCTCTTGACATCGCCAACGCATTTAACACCCTGCCTTGGACCGTGATAGGGGGGGCACTGGAGAGGCATGGAGTGCCCCTCTACCTCCGCCGGCTGGTTGGCACCTACTTGGAGGCCAGGTCGGTCGAATGTACCAGGTACCGTGGAACCCTTCACCGGTTTCCAGTTGTGCGTGGTGTTCCACAGGGGTCGGTTCTCGGCCCCCTCTTGTGGAATATCGGGTACGGCTGGGTACTGAAAGGCGCCCTCCTCCCGGTCGTCCGCGTTATTTGTTACGCGGACGATACGTTGGTCGTGGCCCGTGGGGATGATTATAGAGAGTCTGTCCGTCTCGCCACAGCGGGAGTGGCTCTCGTCGTCGGGAGGATAGAGGCTGGGTCTCGACGTGGCGCTGAGTAAATCCGAGGCTCTGTGGTTTCACGGGCCCCGGCAACTGGGCGGCTATGGCTCGGTTTCTGCGCCGGCCGCAGCGCACCGTTGCCATCAGGGTCATCCGCGGATATCGCACCGTGTCCTTCGAGGCAGCGTATGTGTTGGCGGGGACGCCGCCATGGGAGATGGAGGCGGAGTTGCTCGCTGCTGATTATCGGTGGCGCAGCGAGCTTCGTGCTCGGGGCGTGGCGCGTCTCCCCGAAAGTGAGCTGCGGGCGGGGGGTACGGACCGTCGAGGCAGTTTATCTGGTCTTTGATGACTAGGTGAATCGTGGCGAAGGACGTCTCACCTTTCGTCTGGTGCAGGTGCTGACTGGGCACGAATGCTTCGGGAAGTACCTGCACCGAATAGAAGCTGAGCTGACGACGAGGTGTCACCATTGTGGACACGACTTGGATAGGACGGAGCATACGCTCGCTGCCTGCCCCGCTTGGAAGGTGCAGTGCCGTGCCCTTGTCGCAAAGATAGGACCGGACTTGTCGCTGCCTGGCGTCGTGGCGTCGATGCTTGGCGGCGACGAGTCCTGGAAAGCTATGCTCGACTTCTGCGAGTGCACTATCTTGTAGTAGGAGGCGGCGAGGCGGCTGAGGCAAAGCTCTCCTCACTACACGGAAATCCGCCGCCGTCGAGCAGGGGGTCGAGACCAGGGTTCCATCCGTCACCCCGCCCCCTAAGAGCTTTGGGCTCCATCCGCTTAATGCGGATAGGGACCCAGCCGTGGGGCGGGGTGGTTTCTGGGGGACGGCGGGATGGATGTAATATGCTGTGCGTAAACCTTGTCCGCCGTCTCAATAACTCCCACTGGGCTCCGGCCCGGTCCGAGGTAGGGCGCCGGCTGTGAGCGGCAGGAGTTTTTAGTGAGGTTCAACTCCCACATATCCCACCCACTGCGCAGATGGGGATCCGCCGATTTTCTCCTGTGGAAAATAAAAACCATTGCGGGTTCACGATACCTGCCTCCAAATATCTACGGGCATTGGTCACTCACCACAAAGTAATACGGAGAATTATCGACTGCCTTTAAAGACAATATATAAGACAAGATATGAAAATCATCCAGATTTCGTTACATGGAACAAATGTCTAGAATAAACAGCCATTACCAGATCAAATCTTTAACAGAGATTTTATTTGTCTTCATTTGTAATTTTATAACGTACACTCGAAATCTTAGGCAATTATTAATCTTAAGTATTTATAAAATTTAAACGGTATATACAAATAATGAATCGAACCCTAAAAACGATAACATCTATATCTATACTAATATATAAATCTACAGTGGTTTTTACGGATGTTCCGTTACAACTACTGAACCGTGCATCCAATTAACTTAGTATCCATGTAGAAAATACATGTACTTAATGGAAAGGCTATAATATTTATTTGAGCGTTGGACTCCCTACACCAGCTGCGGGGGCGTTAATGATGAGAATCTTTGTGGGGGTGAGAAATAATAATGTTAATTTTAAATGCCCAGCGAAGCGGACGGGTACAGCTAGTATCAAACAAATCCAGCGCGTGTAAATTATAAAAATCAAGTTTTATTACAAAGATTACATATCTACGTTTTTTTTTTCATTAAAATTCACAGATGTTTTCAGATTATCAGAGAGATTATTTATTTATCTTTATTTATGATAAATACCGAATACAAGCTTGTTTAGGTGTTATGCAGGACTCATTACATATTTTGTAATGTACTCATGAGTCAAAGTTTGAATTGACAATGCAAAACAGGTCTGCGAAGCACTGCTCTTGCTAGGGTTCGTGTTATCAACAACTTCAGGTTCGAGCCCCGTGAGCTCACTTACTCGCCCGGTGACGCTGATATGGTCTGTCAAGAACATCAGCTTAGGTAGGAAACAAAAAAAAGTATCGTTTTACGAGTTTTAAAAACTTTAAGACTACATTGTGGTTACTGGTGGTAGGACCTCTTGTGAGTCCGCACGGGTAGGTACCACTGCCCCGCCTATTTCTGCCGTGAAGCAGTAATGCGTTTCGGTTTGAAGGGTGGGGCAGCCGTTGTGACTATACTGAGACTTTAGAACTTACATCTCAAGGTCTGTGGTGCATTTACGTTGTAGATGTCTATGGGCTCCAGTAACCACTTAACACCAGGTGGGCTGTGAGCTCGTCCACCCATCTAAGCAATAAAAAAAAAGAGTAGTCGAAATTGACATTGATAATAATCATACCGGATCGGAAACGCGACCCACTAAGAAGATCCGGCGAGAAACTCAGTGGCTTGTGTCTGTGGGTTAAGTTACTCGCCGGGCCCTACGTCGGAAGCGACGGGTTCGACGAGAACGATGACCGAGAAAAAGATACAATGACCACACTCAACACCTGCGTTCAGTTTGGTCATCATCATCATCGTTAGCTCACAGTCGTTCACTCAGCTCGGTCTTCGCCTCTCCTCATTCATCCAAGTCCTAATATTTCGAAGCCATGCTACCACATTAGTTGCGAGTAGTCGCCACTTCCTGGTCTCGTTATAGTACAAACAAAGGATTTAGGACTTAAATCAAACAATTAAAAGTTTTAAATCACATAAACCCTAAATTAAATAATAATAAAACCATATAAAATAATCATATCACACATCACAAGAACAAGTTGCCCAAAATAGGGAACATTGGTTTTTGTTGGCGGAGGCCTTCACTCGAGGAGAGGTTCTTGCAAATAAGTAAAAAATAATAATAATAATAGTAATAATAGAATATGGAACCGGGAAAAAGTTTACATAGTTCCAATAGTCATTTCTTAAGGTTCTTGATAGCGTAAAAGTTAAATCAAATTTGTATGGAGTTGGAATGTTCGCTTACGTTTGCCGCTAGGGGCGCTGTTTCAACTGCAACTTTTACGATAACGAGAACGTTAAAAAACTCACACTAAGCACACGGTTCCATAGTGCGACAATTCTTACACCCACTATTGAAATCCCTACAACACAATGAACCAATTCACTTGGCGTAAGCCCGTTACTAACATTAGCTGAGAATTTTTTGAAGTGAAAACTTCTTTAGAATCGTTGTGATTTCAAACCGGATGCAACGGAAAAAACGACAGGTAAGAGACACAAATACAGAAATGTGTAGGATGAAACCAGCAAAGAATGAGACAGAAATATACATACTATTTAATACAGCGCCATCTGTGAGATTTTTTAATACTAACGTGTGTATGAAAGCTCTTGTAGTGAATTTTAATTTAGGATTATACGTGAAATTAAAATATCAATTCACAGAGGGCGCTACCTTACAATTATTTACTAATGACAAAATGTTACATATACTTAAGACGTNACGGCGGGGGCGGGGTTATTGACGCGCCTAGTCGGGAGGGGGATGCTCAGCGTGGTGTTCGGAGGGCGACCCCTTTTGAAGAGCACCGCTGTGCTTTTCGTGGGGTTGATGTCGATGCGCCACTTCCGGAACCACTGTCCCATGGTGGTAGCCGCGGTCTGAAGTCGTCGATGAAGCAACGCCTTCTTCCTACACGAGTAGTAGATGGCAGTGTCATCGGCGAAGAGCGCCAGATGGGTCTCCGGAGACCGGGGTATATCGTTGATATACAACAAAGTTTGAATTGACAATGCAAAACAGGACTGCGAAGCACTGCTCTTGCTAGGGTTCGTGTTATCAACAACGTCAGGTTCGAGCCCCGTGAGCTCACTTACTCGCCCGGTGACGCTGATATGGTCTCTCAAGAACATCAGCTTAGGTAGTTTTAAAAACTTTAAGACTACATTGTGGTTACTAGTGGTAGGACCTCTTGTGAGTCCGCACGGGTAGGTAGGTACCACCGCCCCGCCTATTTCTGCCGTGAAGCAGTAATGCGTTTCGGTTTGAAGGGTGGGGCAGCCGTTGTGACTATACTGAGACCTTAGAACTTACATCTCATGGTCTGTGGTGCATTTACGTTGTAGATGTCTATGGGCTCCAGTAACCACTTAACACCAGATGGGCTGTGAGCTCCTCCGCACATCTAAGCAATAAAAAAAAAAAGAGTAGTCGAAATTGACATTGATAATAATCATACCGGATCGGAAACGCGACCCACTAAGAAGATCCGGCGAGAAACTCAGTGGGTTGTGTCTGTGGGTTAATTTACTCGCCGAGCCCTTCGTCGCAAGCGACGGG